ATGTTGTACTGAGGATCATGGTTTTGTCATCCATTTGCCTGAGGCCAAGCCAGGGACAAGGGTACTATTTAAAAATAAAATTTCCAGCTAAGAACATGATGCAACTTGCTCCATCACAGGTGAAAGTTTCCTGCTTTGTCCTTAGAAAAGGAGAGCAAAGATCACATTTCAACTGATGTGACAAGAAGTCATTGCAGGGCATGCCCGCATGTCAGAGCTAGACCAGGAGATGAGAAGACAAAGGGGTTGAAAATGTCCTCCCAGGCTTGTTTGTGCAGGTCTGAGTTTCTAAAGCAGCTTCTCAGGCAATAACATCCACTTTTCTTGTTGCTGTGTGCTGCTAGTCTCTCCAACACTAGGTGTGGACTAGACTATAGACGGTGACTGAGTGGTAAGACTTCATTTAGCCTCATCGCACTGCTGAGCAGACAGACAGACATTAAAGCAAAGGAGGTTATCGAGAAGCCATAGCTTATCTATGTTTCCTAGTGAAGACAAAGCCTCTGTGTTCCGTTTACTACCCTTTAAAATGAAGACTGTTCTCAGTGGGGGCAGATGACAGAACAAGGAGTAATGGCCTTAAGTTGCAGCAAGGGAGGTTTAGGTTGGGTATGAGGAAAAACTCTCACCAGGAGGGTGGTGAAGCACTGGAACAGGTTACCCAGAGAGGTGGTGAAACCTCCATCCTTGGAAATGAAGACCCGCATGGATAAAGCCTTGGCTGGGATGATGACGTTTGGGCTGTTCCAGCTTTGAACTGGGGGTTGGACTAGATGGCCTCCTGAGGTCCCTTCCAACCCCTATTTTCTATGATTTTCTAAGATTCTTAGGGGATGAGGCTTACACACTTTGTGGAGGTAGGGAAGCAGGAACATCAATGTTTTGCATTATGAGGTCCTTAGGAGGAAAGTTCCAAAGTGCAAAGGGCCCTGTTAGTGGATCTTCTACACTAACCCATCTCATCTATATGCACTTGACAAGTAAGAGGTGTAATTAATTCTACTTCAGTTAATTGAATCAGCCTAAATACATAGAAATTGCAGAAGTAAAGCACTTTTAAAGGAATTGACATCCGAAAAAATTACTTCACAGTTAGGGCGGCTAGGAGCTGGAACCAACTTCCAAGGGAGGTGGTGCTGGCCCCTACCCTGGGGGTCTTTAAGAAGAGGCTGGATGCCTACCTGGCTGGACTCATTTGAGTCCCGTTTTCGTTTTTAGGGTTTTTTGTTGTTCTCCCGCCCTGGCGGGGGGTCGGGCTAGAAGATCTATTAGGTCCCTTCCGACCCTAAAACTATGAAACTATGAAACTATGAATTGTTTTATTATAATCCCAAACCTCAGAGTTGAACTTTTCTAGGAAAGCTCATGCAAGTTGTTATCTGAGACAAACCAGTTTCTCCAGCCCTAATTAAATTAAGTATGTTCAAACCTTCCTATTAGTCTCCTTTGGTCAATCACTGAAGAAGTCATTACCATCAGGGAGAGTTGCATAAAGAGAAGATGTAGGAAAAATGTTCAATTAAGAAAGCTTCCAGTTTTACCTGTCCCATTTGAATCCTATCTGGAGCTACTTTAAAAACAGGCAGCCAGGTGTATGGGAGATACAGGGGGAATCGGATAAGACAAGTTTGACGTGACCTTCACGCAGCCCGAGACCAAAGACCTGAACCATTTTCCGTCAACTTAATTGGGGTTGCTCTTTCCACTAGTGAAATGTGAAATCCTCAGTGAGTAGCTTCCAGCTTGCTACTCACTGAGTATTTCACATTTCACTCTGCTTCAAAAGCAAAAATACGAAAGGCTCCCTTTTACTCGTGTTTGCAGGCACATGGGTACTCGGAGTATGTCAATGAGGTACTTCAGCAGATAGCAGTGTGATCTAGTGAACAGAGCTGGCTGGGGAGCCTGAGTCCTACCCCTGGCTCTGCTGCGAGCCTGCTGTCTAACCTTGGGCAGGTTCCTTTGTGGTCAGATTCTGTCTACAAATGGGGATCATGCACCAAGCTGTTTAGCAAATACCATTTCTGCAGTGTTTTCCAAGTACTATTATTCCTTTTACCCATACCACCTGGCAAAACTGCTCGAGGCCACCGGCTTGACACCCAAGTCAAAATCTGGCTCAATATATATGCAAAGGTGCATCAATTTAATAGAAGGGGTTGATTTTGATACCAATTTGATTAAACCAGTGTTCAATTACCAATTCTGTATCCCTTTACTGTTAATGCTGGCCTCCTGTAAAAATGAGGCCTTCTAAATAGACTTCCCTGATATCCAATGATTCACAGAAATGTTACTATAATTTATTCACCCGGCATGTGAAATGTTTTACTAGACTCATTCCTTTTGCACTATTTCCTTGTTGATAACAACTTCACATGCATCTATGTGACTAATTCTTAAGGCTGGCAAATATCTGAACACTTTCTAGCAACTGATTCAACAGCTTTGGGGAAAAAAAATACTTGAGAAGTGAATAGAACACGATAACTTCCTACAGGTATTTTGTACCATCCTAAAGAACATAAAAGAAAACTTAAAAGAGAACTAATGCCCTGCTGGAGTTGTCTATGAGAGGGGTAAAAGAAAAAATTCCTAGAGATTTTGGGTAACATTTTTTAAAAGCATCTAAGTAAGCAGCCTGGAAATCTGGGCCTGGAGCTCCTAAATCAAGTGATTTTGAAAATTGTATTCCTTGTTCTCAATTAGATCCCATGATCTTCCTTTTCCCCGATTTTCATCCCCCGCCTTATTTAAACCTCACTACAGCCCTGAACATTATATCATCCCTGCTATTATCCCCATTTCATTCATGGATTAATAAGCAGTTAGGAAGAGGGGCGCCTATTCAACAGGATTCACCCCGGCCTGTCTTTTAAATATAATTATATAAATAATGGATGCCTTGTTGGCCACTTCCTGGTGTTTCATGCAAGTTCTAAGCTACCGGCAGTCATTAAATACAAGATCTCTAAATTACAGGGTTAAGTAAGTCACAGCAGGGGAGAGAATACAGAAATAGGAGTCCCGTTGTTATATGAAAATACTGTCCTTAAGTTCCTTTTTCAAAGCAAGAGTCCCCATTGTGAGACATTCTGTGCTGTGTCCCCGGTTGCAGGGAGCTCCTTAGATCAAACCCTGAGCCTCACACGCTTGTACTGCAAGCTTTCACTAACCTACAGAGCCAGTCAAAAAAATAGACCAATGACAAAGTTCCACTGCAGAATGCACTGATGCCATGTAACACTTGGGATGGATTCTCTCCCTTTGTCTTCAGCATTTCTAGTCCTGATCAGGATATATCCCTCTGTTCCATCTAAAAGCAACCTTGTTGAATATGCCATAAAACCATAGTCCCAGACCAACTGGCTTCCAAGAAAAAGCATGGAGAGAATTTCACTTGTTTCATTGTCAGACAACATAGCAGTGGCAGTGCTCTGTTGGCTGAAAGATCATGAAAGAAAACTTGCAAGAATGAAACGTTCTTATGGTTACCAAATAAAGCACAAAACCCCCCAAAAACGAGCTGGAGACCAACAAGAAAGGGAACATGGTATAAAACCATGTTTAAAATTCATTATTTAAAAGCAGTAAGATATTAATAAAAATGGAATTATTATTACCCTTTTGCATAGCTATGACTATTTCATTTATAGTCTAAACAGCTTTACCTTCATTAATTAATCCTCAGGTTATCCAATGCAAGATACCTCATTCAAAAGTATCAAGTCTATCCAAAAGATTAGGAAATAGGAGGTGAAAGTCTGTTCTGAACTATGGCCTGGTATAATGCAATGCTGTCAGTAGAAGAGGTTCTTTCACATCAAGAAAGAATTAAATTCACAGAGCTTAAGGGTCCCACCCAAGGTCACACTGTGAGTCAGTGACAGAGCTGGGAATGGACCGAAGGCCAGTCTGCTGTTCTCTTTAGAAAACCACACTCTTATGTGGAACACATTTAAGTGTTTATTTTCCACTGAATTAAAGAACCTTCTATTTCTCTAGAAACAAAGGTAAGTCTCCTGTTTCCAACTGGAACCTTTAAGGTCTCTCCATTTCCAGGACACCACAATGCACTGACCCGACTCTTCCAATCTCAAGAAAAATGAACCAGTATGTCTGCAGTCAGTTACTACTGTTTTCTGGGCTGATTAAAAGAGGAATCTCTGGAACAACAGACAGCACAAAGGAACAAGTTGGCTGCAACCTTTTCTCCTGCATATGCCTCACCCTAATTCAGCAGATTTTTAATTTTCAAACAAATGAATCATATCTGCAAGTTTTCATTCTGATTGACAAAATACAATAGACCAGGAAGCAGAAAGACTACATCAGTACTACACTGCTGAGATCCCTTTAACCTAGAGGCATCCCTTCCTGCTGTTAATTACCCTAATGCTAAATAGTTGAACACTCTCGGGAATTCCCATACGGTTGCCCCTCTTTAAGGAAAAAGAAAAAAATGTACCGACTGTTTATCTGATCTCTGGATTTAAAAAAAAAAGAACAAACACCATCAGAAACACCTACATTGAAATCTGTCCTTAGGCAAAACACCCATAATAAAATTTATTTTATTATCCTCTGTTTTATGCCTGGAATTTTCAGACACAGTTGTCTACAAGGCATCTAATCACTTTGACTGTCTCCCCAGATCAGCTAGCTGGGTGTCTCCCTTCTTAGTACCAGCCAATAAATTTACCTACAAAACTGTAGCCATAAAAAGGGAGGTTAGGTGGGGACTCCTTTAAAAAAAATCAGGACCAGAGCCTGAGATCATAGCTTATGAGTCCAACTGCAGGCACTAGGAAGAGATATGGACCTGATAAGATCAAAACTACATCTGCCCCAATAGCCTGTACTGTCACCTGCTTGGCACTTTTAGTTCTGGCCAATAAAGCCACCGGTCTCCTTAAAGGGGCACTCTGATGTCACTGGGCTCTGTATGACACGATCATTACATTTCACATTGGGTTGCCACAGTGTCTGAGGCTCAGGACTTTGCAAGGAAGGCTATATTGTCCTGGCTGGGCTGAGACCATTTTATTAGCGAATTGATCACATTGTTTCCTTTGCCTAGAGGATGTGAAGAGGTAGAAGAAAAGGCAGACACTCATTTCACACTCTAAATAATAGTGTCCCCAGTGGGAGACTTGTCTTGCAGCCTCCAAACTTGAAATCTCTCTCCAATGGCACCACTGCAGCAGGCCAAGCCCAAGAAGAAAAAACACCTATTACTGGTGTTTTATTGGAAAAAGAACCAGCAAGAAAAGAAGCCACCTTCTCCTCCCAGTGTTCCTTCTGAGCCTTCAGATTCTTCTAGCCACGCTGATAGTGCTGCCCCTAGCAGCTGGGCTGGGCTGGATGCACAGGGTCGACCGAAACCTGAAGCGCCCTGTAAGAAGAAAGGCAACACAACGTCTTCCACCTCTCCAGCTATGGACCACCAAGCTCTGAACGCTCTCCTCACGGGAGGCCCATTTATTGTAGCCCAGAATCAGTCCAGGAGGAAAGACTGCCATACCTGCAAGGGCTCAAAGAAAAGGAAACAAGAGATTGGGCTCAGGAAGAGGTTGGGCTCATCAGACAAGGTAAAGGCAACTCAGTGGGGAAGGCAGGAATGGTTAAGTGGACAGGGAATTCTCTCTCAATACCACCCATGGATGGTGGGGGGCAGATGAGTAATGTTCCTCGAGGTAAAACAGCGGGAAAGAGGACTGATTTGCCTACGGAAATAGTTGTGGACAGGCACTTCCCGGAGAAGCAGACAAAAAAGGTGCAGGAAGGAATGGCTGATGGGATGGGCAGGGATCAACCTAAGGAACCGACTGGAATTACCATTAGGTGGCAAAGGGGGATAGGAATGGATGGTGGGCCCCCACATAGAAAATAGGCTTTTTGTATCCACAGACAGCATGCCATATCTTTATAGATGTTGTAAAATACAAAGCGTGGGTCTACAGCTTCCATAAGAGTTACTCCCTGATTTCAGCTAATATGTGAAGCGCACACAGCTTATAGAAATCACAACTCCATAAACCTCAAGTGGTTTATTTTCCCACCCCAAGATGGCTGATGACCAAGCTGAAACTGCCTACAACTCCCAACCTGATCCTAAGCAGCTGTTCTTATTAACTCTTGTCTTCATCTTCCCCCATTCTTGATATTTGAACATCTGCCCTTAAAAACTACCAGATTCATTTCTCCTTACTTGCAGACCCTCACAGGGGCCTTGACCTTTTCCCAGAGCGTGAGCCCTATTTTTCTTCCCCTTCAGAATCCCTGATAAGATCTGTGGAACCCCCAGCTCCATTTCACTGATAAAACAGATATGCTGTGGCGTTTGAAATGTCATTCCCCATTAGCATGAGGCTAGACTGAAGAAGCGGAAACAAACTAGGTAAGCTAAGTGGAAAGGGCTGTTCTACCACAGTCCTAACGTGCTTGTAAAACGTTTGACTTTTCTGACCCCAGAATAGAAAAAAAGTACAAGCTTCAGAGTGTCCACTCAACACAGAAGAACTGGGGCGAAATGTGTGGGCTTTCCTTCACACCATGGCAGCGTATTACCCAGATGAGCCCAGCAATGATCAGCAGCTTGATATGACTCAGTTCATCGACTTACTTAGTAAATTTTATCCCTGTGAAAAGTGTGCAAAAAACCTAAGGAACAGGTGAGCCACAGACTTGAATGTAATAATATTTGTTTAAACATTACACCTTAAGTTAAACCAGTGCAATCCTGTTAATACACAAGCCTCAACACAACCTTAGTGAGCTGGCTTCAGAACTCTGTCAGTATAAATTGGAAGTTGCTTTCCCAGAGGTGCAAATACTGTTTAGTTATTTCTACATGTTATATTCTACCTTTAATGCCTGGTACAGCATGTCATGAGTAAAACACGACAACCAAGGCACTGAAGCCGCCTTTCAAAAGAAGGTTAGAAATAAAGTTTAGAAATGTGGGTGCGGGGAAATCCTGTTACTCATAAAAGAAAACAAACCTCCACTAGCAGTGATACTGTCACTGTTTTTTAGTCAGATTCAGGTTTTTTTTATAATGAATGACTAAATTATATAGAATACACACAGTCTGGATACTTAAAAGCCTGTGCCCTTGGTGCCAATGACTTTTGGTTTAAAAAACTCTATCTAACAAGAATCGATAGCCCTAACTTAATCACCAGAAAGCAGTAAACAGTTAAGCATACTCAATGTATATTCCTTCATTTAGAGGGCAGTTATATATGCCCTAACTTGGAACTCATTCATTACACACACTGCAAACTGTATTCTATTATTTTTCTGATTTCATTAGCAATCACAAATGGGCTAGGTGCTTTCTAAACACAGATGAAAACTTAGTCCCTGGCAGACAAGTGCATGAAACCAACAAGGACAGGGTTGTATTTGGGAGACGGAGACTGGTTTTCAAAGAGTAAGTTACAAAATGCTTGAAACAGCAGCTAAATGTGATCCAAAAAAAGTTTCTTCTGCAAGGAAGCTAGTCAATAGGATTTTTATAGCATTAGAGAGCACTGGAGCAATCTGCTCCAGGAGTATTCAGCTTTGTTCAGTTGGAAATATGGCATCAATACCTTGCCAGAAGTTTGAAGAGCTAAAAAAAAAAAAAAAAGATTGCAAGAACCCCCATAATTACTATTATTAGTTATTAATATAAAGGCTTGAGTTATGAAGGAGGAAGGTATTTGCATGATATATTCCCTTCCTGAGTTCAGCACGCTCAGATAGCTATTTCTTGTCTAGGGACTGAAACCAGTGATTCTGGACTGAAGTAAGTAGTATGCGGTTCTTTTCTGTCTCTGTAGATTAAACACAAAAAAGCCAGATACTAGCAGCAGAAAGCAGCTATGCCAATGGCTATGCCTTCTTCACAATGAAGTGAATGAAATGCTGGGAAAACCCCAGTTCAACTGCTCCCACATAGATGAACGCTGGCGAGAAGGCTGGGAGGATGGTTCATGTAACTAGGGCATGGAGACACCACGGGAAATAAGATCAATGTTATTATAATTCAAATGCAATAAAGACTGAACTGGGTGCAGTATCTTTAAAAATGGTAAAAAGTGAACATGTTTGTGTGCACGTCTAACACATCTGCAAAAAAATAAACAGGCTTCCTACTCTCATCTGTGATTCAGAGGAATCTGATCCCTCCCCCCTGTAAATTCTTAGGGGATGACACCAGTGCTTAACGATTAGGTAAACCACAGGCCAGTCACGCGAACCAGTGCACAAGTCACAGAAGAAAACAAAGGTTTGTCAGAGCAAACCTTTACCCGTTCTGTTCCCTTTTACATAGTCTTCATCCTACGTCTTTAAAAACATTAATATAAAGGATTAGGTCACAAACCTGCAAACACTTTTGTGTAACCCAAACCATAATCCCACTGGCATCAACATAATTTAGGTGCGTAAATGCTTGCAGAAGCAAAACTGTCAGCGATGTCTCTTCCGTGGCCGCAAAGGTTTTACTTCACCATTTTAAAAAAATCCCTCTTTTCTCTTCGGCCTCTCACTACTGAAAAAACAGGCATTGGCCTCAGTAGGCTTTTTGCACTGTTAAAATTTTGAGTTCCCTTGGAGTCGGGTACAAAACCCCCAGTCGTCAATGGGCACCTTTGCAAGGACTTCAACAAGCTCTGCAACAGGCCGTACAGAATGAAATGCTGCGCAGCTAAAAAGCTGTAAGAAACCCACAGGCTCGGGAGGCCCCTGGTCAGCCTTCTGCTACCTTAATAGGCTCAGATCTCTGCATTTCTTTCCTTCCTTTGGTCTCTGCATGAAGGGAGGAGAGCTAGCCACCACGCCGCAGCGGCAAGCAGGTGCACAGCCCCCCCACAGGCTTCCCCTGGGGGGCTTTGAAGGGGAAGGAAGATCTGAGGCACCAGACTCCCAAATTAGGAGTCATTTTTGCAGGCCCCTGTCAGCCTGACTCTCCCCATGGCTGTATGGGGTCAGCTCTGGTGCAGTTGGAATCCAGGGAGAGAGAGGGACCAGTACTAGCCCCTTACCAGAGACAGGGGGAAGCCTCAGGTTCTCCTAGGAGCTCCTCTTCCCCTACCTCATTCTCAGCTCTGAGGCATCAACCCACACCTGCAGCCACAGCCTGGGCCACCCGGCCCAAAATGCTTTGCGGTTCCAAGATGGCGGTAGGCAACCCAGCCATCCTGGCCCAACATGCTTTGCGGTTCCAAAATGGCGGCAGGCAGCCCGAACACCCGGCCCAACATGCTTTGCGGTTCCAAGATGGCGGTAAGCAACACAGCCATCCTGGCCCAACATGCTTTGCGGTTCCAAAATGGCGGCAGGCAGCCCGAACACCCGGCCCAACATGCGTTGCGGTTCCAAGAGTGGGCCGGCCCAGCATGCTTTGCGGTTCCAAGATGGCGGCGCCCAGGGAGAGCTGAGGCAAACCGGCTACCCGGCCCAACATGCTTAGCGGTTCCAAGATGGCGGCGCCCAGCGAGAGCCGGAGTGGCCCGGCCGGGAGCAGCGGAAGCAGGCGGCTGCAGCCCCCGGGGTGAGGGCCCCCAGGCAGGGCTGGGCTCTTCTCCCTTAAGCCACCCCCTAATTATGGGGCTGTGAGGCGGGAATGGGCTCTCGGCTCTGCTGTCAGGCTGGAGGGGTGGAAGGAGGGGGCAAGGGTTGGTTTAATCAGCTGGTTTCCGGAAGCCCCCCAAATTGAAGGGGTAATAGAAACGCAATGGGCATGAGATCTGTCTCAAGGGGTTTTGCTTTTCTGCTCTTGAGTTAATAGTTGCTCCTTTTTTCTTTTTTTTTTTTAAATCCGTGACCCAGGAAGCGAGCGTCGATGAGGAAAAGGAGCAGCCTCCAAATTGTCCTTTAGATAGAGAGGAGCTGGGGAGAAACACGTGGTCTGTCCTTCACACGGTGGCGGCGTACTACCCAGACCACCCCACCAGCGTGCAGCAGCAAGAGATGACCCAGTTCATCAACCTGTTTTCTAAGTTTTATCCATGTGACGAATGTGCGGAGGATCTGAGGGAAAGGTGAGTTGTATTTTATCGATGCATCTGCAGGAAAGAGGCCCGTGTAAAATCTTGGGATCCTGTCGCTCCAGTGGCACGAGGTCATTCACTTTTCCAATGCTTGTTCTTCACATCTGTTACATGTTGTAAAAAATGAGTGAGTTGTTTAGGGATTGAGCCCTATACCTCTCAAAACTACATAAAGGAGTTCTGTATATTTGCTGGTTCAAATCCGCTTGCTAGCAACACCATGCAGCTATCTCACGGTGTATGATAAATAAGTTTATTTTTGGATCGTGGCCTAGCTTTCAGTGGACAGCTGCCTACTCCACAAAAGCACTGCCAGTAATGGTCCCACATTACCAGTCTCGGCAAACGGGCCAAGGACCAAATGGGGTGTGGTACTTGGTAGCATCTTCAAGTCTTGGTACTGCCAACAGTGCATTTGGTTTGGGACTTGTTTTGTGTGATGAACTTTAAAACTTTGATATCAAACATTTCAGTATCCTGACCGACTCCAAGATACAAACCACGTGGAGCAGTATATAGAGTGTTTGAATGCTTCTTTCATAAGGTGATTCACGATTCAGAACAGAGCTGCTTATTGTAAAGAGAGGTAAAAAAAAAAACAACCAACCACAACACTTTCTGTCTTGCATGAAAGCCCTTCCAGCAATGTTTTCAGTGCTTTGGTATGGGGTCCAATTTATTGTGATTGCTGGATGCATAATGCAGAATCTCTAATTACCAACTAAAATGTGTCATTGTGGAAATGAAGTTGATCTTTTTCATCTCATAAAATTGCCCCTCCATATGACTTAAATAATCAGCTGCATTAATGGAGATGAGTCGAAGGAATAGCTCTAAACTTGAATAACGCTAGTGTATAGTCTGTCTGCTAGAGAACAGACCTGCCTCTCGTATAAAGCCAAGCTAACCTTATCCACAAATAGAACTATATAAAACAAAAAGGACAGTTTGAAAATTAGTTACTGACTTAGTTGAAAGGAGCCAAACATGGAAAATCAGCTCAGTAATATTTGTCAAGAAGTTCTTTCTTTTCAGAATATTCACAAACCTGGTTACTTTGTGTGTTTTGCCATGGATTAGCTGCTTGATTAGTATCTAATTTGGAATATCATTGATAGCTGACTAGGAATTTCTGGACTCCACTTGACTTGCATAAAACCAGTGCAACTTCATGTATCTTCATATTTAGCGGGGAGCTGCAATCCACAACGAATACAGATCTCAGTCTGCAGGGCTCTGTGGGACATGTCTTGAACTAATGGATAAGGGGGACTCAGGCCATCAGCAAGCCACACCTCTGCTTTGGGAGACTGAAATCAGTGACTGTAAAGAAGTAAACAGCATTTGATTCCTCTTCCCTCTGCAGATTACGTACAAACCAGCCTGACACCAGCAGCAGAAATAACTTATCCCAGTGGTTTTGCTTACTTCATAATGACGTGAACAAGAAATTGGGGAAGTCTGAATTTGACTGCTCCAAGGTGGATGAACGCTGGCGAGATGGCTGGAAAGATGGTAGCTGTGATTAATCTGTAGAGACTGCCCTGGAAATCGGACAGACCAGTTCTAACATAAGACTCATCCCCGGTGGGAAATCGTCATGAAGAGATGCAAGTAAATATATTTGTGTGTATGTGTGGTTGACATAGCTTATGGTAAAAAGGTGGCTGCTACTTTTATCTCATCCCAACAGGATCTTGATTTAGGAGTGACTAATTTTACGTCGTCATGTATCTTCTGGGACTGGACCTTGTGTTTGTTGTAGTAACTGTCAGAAACTTGGCAAATTCAAGCAAAGTTGCTGATGCAACTTGTAGAAAGAAAAAGGTCTTGGCATTTCCTTAGTTTTGGGGGCACCTTGTGGCCACTGTTGCCTTTTCCATCCCGTTCAAGCCTCTTTCCTTCGTTTGGCAGTGCCTTTCTCCTTCACTCTGTCATTTCAGCTGCTGTGCTGGTCCAATGACGGGCAGTTTGACTGCTGGTTCATGAGTCTCCTGTGTTTTGGGCCAACCATGTAGTCCTTCATCTTCTCTTCAGTAATTTCCTATGAGCTGTTGCATGTTCACGCTGTTTAACTACTAACTCCTCTACCTTTACACTCACTTGCTAAAAGCCTCAAGGCAAGAACATTTTGTGTAAATATTAAAATATCAGAACTCAGGATTTTATTCCCAGCCATAACAAATATCCTCTTTTTTATATTCCTTTGTCTAAACTTGTAGAACCTCACTTCGAAGCAAGAGGGCACTGCAGGAAGAAAAATATATAAACTCTTTGACCAGCTAAAATGTAAATGCTTTGTGACTTGTTTGTTCATTTTTTTTTAACCCAGGTGAGTTCCATGAGACAAGTCTACTGAACCAGCTCTTTAGAAATAAGTATTTATTTTTTGTCTCTGAACTTTTGTGGTTCACAGACCCCATTCCTATGACATGAGTGGAAGAGACAGATAGCTGGTTGTAATGAAGCCTACTCAAGTTTGCTTTATGTATAGGATTCATTAAAACAGTGTACATGTTCTGAGATCCTTTGAGTAATTGTTGACTGGCCTGGTATGATGGTATTACCCTGAAGGTGAAGTTCCCTCTCTAGACTAGAGGAACTTGCACAGAAGCCTATGCAGCATTTGAATCTTGCTTAAGTCTTACATTAGAGTCTTAAGTACCAAATGCATTGTGAACTCAAAATGGTGTGTAGGGTATACTTCACCTTTAGAAACTGGCCAATTCCATACTGAATATTATGCCTCTAGGTTGGCTGTACTGCATCAGTATGTTCCTGGGGTTTGTGCACTTGAATTTCAGGTGCAAGTGAAATAGAAACGTAAATAATATAAGCAACCTGGCTCTTCTTAGACTATGGCTCTGTAAAATTATGTCAGAATTATTTAAAGTTATTGAAATTAGAGTATGATTCTTTCTCCTTTTTTTTAGATGTATAATAAATATAATTGCATTTCTGGGTTCTAGTTGTTCCAATGACCTTGTGCAAACTTACAATATCAGTATTTAATTCTTTTCCTTGTGTATTTTCTTCTGATGCTTTTAATTGTATTTCCCCTTCTGGGGGTTTGTGAACTTCCTACATGCATTTATTTCATGGGCTACTTTATCTGCCCTGTGAGGTATGAAAGTAGACTGGGATTTGCACAGAAACTTTAATGGGGGACATCACGTCAAATGAAGGTATTGGGATTCTGATATTGTCTGTTAGTAAACCTTTGACCCTAATGTTGTGGTGCTAGGGTCTTGTTGGTGAGTACTTAACCAGTCAAAGCTTTAGGAAGATATTCAGCTGATGTATGACACCTTTCATGTCATTTGAAGCCGAACCTGTTAAAAAAAAAATAGCAGAAAGATTTTATTTTTAGTTAAGTAGCATCCAGCTAGTGGTATGTTGTTTTACTCCTCAGTATTTTTCTCTAATCAAACTGAAACTTGATTTCATACCATCTTTATGATTTAACTGAATTAAGGCTTTGGGATTTTTGTCCAGCCAATTAAATGCTACTGAGATCTCTCTTGGTGCATGTTCCGTTATGTGAAATAAATAATTCCAACCCATTTTGATCAACAAATTGTACAACAGAATGTAATACTTAGGTTAGTGTGAAATTCATCCCTTTGCAGGGATGGTCTAGGCACCACTTACATCCCACCTGGGCTTGATCTAAACTACAAAGTTCTGCTGACAGAGCTGTGTCATCCAAGAGCACCAAATTGTGCTGGAGAAGATCACATCCCTAGTTGACATGGGTATGCCAGCAAGACCCTGGTGGAGACACAGCTATGCCAGTAGGAGAGTGCTTACGTCATGCGGGAAGAATGTGTAACTATGCAGACAGAAATAGCCTTCTGCCTCATGTGCTGGCTATCCCGTAGCTATGCCAGCATACCTATGCTGGTGGAAGCCTTGGGAGGTTGACAATTCCTGAAGTCCTTAAAATAGCATTTCAAGACTGCCTCTACTGATAACTAATCAACAAACTCTGGCTACGAGTATATTAATAGGACAGATAGTAACTGCACCATGTGGCTACCAGCTAACCATTGCAGATGTTTGTATTCTCTGCTTTTCTCTTATGTTTACACCTTACAGCTTTGATCTGTCTTGTTTTCTCAGGTGTGATCTTAGACCTGGGGGCTGGAGGGCAGTGCTGCTCTGGTTGGAGCAAATCAGAAGCGTTGACCTTATTTATGTAATTTCTTTAAGATGTTTCTAGCTGTATATTAAGGAAAAACGCATGCATTCCCTTATCTTCTGTGCCCACAGTGCTTTAATTCTGAGACTATCTGTATGCAAATATTTTTCCTATTAATATCAAACTAATAAAGCCAACGAGTTCCTCTCTGATTTCTCTGGTCCATGTGGCTTTACCAAAAGAACAGATGTCCTGACAGTGCTACTATGTTGTTGTCTGACCTTGGTCAGCTCACCTAACTTGTGCATTTGGATCCTAATCTGAGACAAGGCAGATGGAGTTAAACCCACTTTTAAGATTTACTGGGAGGCATCAATAATTATAGAAATGCCATTAGTGCCTGTCCCCCGCTGAGTTCTGTGGGCATGGGGAATTTAAAGCACTTCTTGAGATCAGAGCCTGTGTCAGTTTGTGTACCATTGCAGCAGCTGAAACCTGGTTGAACTCCAGCAGAAAGGCAACCAGAGCTTTCACCCACAAGGGCTTGTGGCCCATTGAAGGGGAACAGTCGCATTGGGTACATGAACACTCACAGCCTTAAACTCCCTAGAGCAGCTGCTAGCAGTGGGGAGGCTCCTTTCCTTTAATATGACTGACCATCAGGAGGGAAGACAGGGTGAGGAGAGGCAGGCAATCCCTAAGGAACTCATTTGATGTAATTCCAATGCTGCTTCTGTGTAATAAGCACCCAACTTGCCCTTATCTCCACAAATCGCTTATTACTCTTGCTGGTGTGTTTGCACTCACAACTGATTGTTCCTGAATGCAAAGAGCAGTGAGCAACAAGGGAATCACATGACTTGTGAATGAGGTTGCTGTGCCTCCCCTTGCCAGCAAACAACCATGCAGCTGCTGACGGAAGCATTGCTGAGGATGTGTGTCTAATATTTTCCCAAGGATAAACTGTTCTCATGTACCTTTTGGGTGTAAATGTTCACCTTCACTGTCAAGACGCATGGGAGTAACAGTATGCATGGATTCCCCCCCCCGAATACATCTCTCTTAGGCAATGTGTAGAGCCTCCTCTTCCCTAGCACAGTTTTGTTTTGTCCACCCGATGCTGCCAGCTCTGTTGGTGCTTGAGACTTGAAGGGATGGATTTGTCTGACTTTTTCTTTAATGTCAGTGCAGGTTTGCTGGCTTAGAGGAGAGCAGTATAAACTGCCCCATCACTCTGGGCAGAGACTGCTGTTAAAGGTATCTTTGCAGGTAGTCAGTCATTAGTCCCTCAGTGGAGACTGTCATCAAGGTAGTCAAGCCCTGGAATGTGCCCACTGGGATTGAAAACACCAACTTGCATACATCAATCACCCAGTTGCTACAAAGGAGCAGAGCTCTGGTTACTGCCAACCTGGTTGCACTTGCATCAGTGTGTATATGCCATTTCCAAGCACTTGTGCCATCCTTTCTATGATTCCTCTCCAGGTTTCCAGAAGCAAAGGATAACCAGCTCACCATCTCCCTGCTTTGATACTGTTCTTCCTCCCCTCGCTATATGACAATCCTGCCAGCATATATTGCATTATTAAAGTCTAGCAAAGCAGAAGATGAAGATAACACAGCGCCAAGAGCCGTGATCAAGACTGGTAGGCTTCATGAAAATCTTCTCTAGAACACACTGCGTCCAGTCAACCTGGCCCAGTGATTAGGTCAGGGACATGGTAATCAGGACTCTTGGGTTCTTTTCCTGACTCCCACCGCCTTTCAGTTTGCTTGCTGCTAAGGAGTACTCTCCAGAGGTACAAAGCACTGTGCCTGTGGACACTTGTTTTTCTTTGACGGTGGAGGTTTCCAAGCACACCCGACTCTGATCCCAGTTTTTTTCCTCATGTGTCACAGTGTCTCACTTTCCCCCGCATTGCCCTTTGGGCTCATAGGAGCCTTTTTGAGACTTTCGGTCCTGTGCCAGCTCCCCAGGAAAGTTCTTTTGCATCCCAGTGAAGTAGCCGCTAGAGGGCAACAGAACATCTGTTTCATTGACTTCTCCATTTCTTCGTCAGGCTTTCATAGATTCATAGATGTTAGGGTCAGAAGGGACCTCAATAGATCATCGAGTCTGACCCCCCTTTCAGATTAGAAGAGGAGTCAGAGGATTTCTACCTGCTCCTAGCCCCCTTCCTATGTGTAGGAGGAGGGGTAATGCAGGTCACTTCAATTACTTTTCAAGCCCAGGGCACATTGATCTTAACCCTGGCTCTGTGGTTACCCAGCACATGTGCTGTTCTTTTGACTTACTTTTACAGGCCTGCAGTGAGAAGAAGGTTATTTGTCTGCCCATGGCTGAAATCTGTACTCAGCAACACAGCGAAACATCACCTGGGTGCAGAGGAGTGGGCATGTGTTTACATCAGTATACCTGCCGCTTGACGTTCCTGGCACAAATTCCCAGCGTATGGGGACAATCCAGGTGCTTTTTTCAGGTCTACAACAAATCAGGAAGAGCATGGAAAGCTGTTCTGAAAACACTGAATTCCTCTGTCGCTTTTACAGCAGTCACTTCTCCAGCCACAGGATCTTCTGAAGCTTCTTGCTGATCTGTTCCACAGGGTGAACTGTGCTAGGCACTGTACAAACAGCACCAAAAAGGCAGTCCCCACCCCAAAGGTCTGGCAGGCTCTTGGAGATAGTGCCTCCTGCCTTGGCTGTGGGGGTTGGCTCTTCCTGTGCCTGCTATAAGATAGCAGTTTTCAGATCTAGCTGGGCTTCCTCATGGTAGAGGCTGTACAGGAGCTAAATAAAATCCAACCGTGCATTCCTTGTTCTCTTGCTTCCCCTCTGCAACATTTTCTGCCATTGTAAGCCCGGACCCTGGTCTAGCCCCAGGCCCCTTCGCTGCAAACAAGCTCTCATCTGCACGACGAGTGTAAGCAATCTGCTGTTGAGTTTGTGGTCTGCATCGGTAGGTGACACTGAGGTCTCTCAGGAGCTGCAGCAGGAAGTTCCTTGTTATGGTTAATGCACATTTCTCTTCCTGTTGCAAGGAGAGGCCTCCGACAAGTCAGCCTCTGGTGTGCTGTATGAACATTTAGAACCTGTTAGGCCCTGCCCTGAGCAGCTTACAGTGTGAAAGAGGAGGCTCGCCAGGTGGGCAAGACAGTGACATAGGTCATGTCTACACTCATAAGATGGTCACAGTTTTTAGCCAGTCAGGAGCAGCGATCACCACTTTCTCACTGCTCATCCTAGGAGGTTGCAGTGTCCATTCATAGCATCTGACAAAGTAGGTAGTTACCTAAGAAAGCCCGTGCCTCTGAACTAGTTAACCTCTAAGGTGTTACCCTGCCCTACCATCTGCTTGACTTCAGATTATCGTGGCCAATCACCTCTGTATGTCCTGGGAAAAGGGGGAGTTTAAAGGGAGGACCTGAAGGGCAATCAGGAGTTCAGGGAAGATGATGTAGTTTGAGACAGGATGCAGCTGGTTGTTTTTTCAGGCAGAAAAGGCAGTGGGCCTGTCAAAGCTATTCTAGGGAAGCTTCCTTCTGGGTTTGTGGTTATGAGACAGTGTTCAGCTTCCCACCCCCACAGATTTATTTTAACCAGTTAGACTTTCCCCTCAGCCTCCTTTGAAGCCTTTGTTTTTCCCCAAACAGAAAACTATTTCCTGAACCCCAGCTTCCCACGCAGGCTGTAAAACACATGGGGCTTTTCTTGTGACTGTCAGCTATGCTTAGGCAGGACCTAGGTTTCTCTGTCTCCCTGGTCAGTGCTACCAGTGGTATAAGGAAGCAGAAAAGTTTTATCGTTGCCCTCTCTACACGATAAAATGCTACACATACAGCACAGAGCAGCTGTGAGAAGGACCTGGGAGTGGAGATCAAAACCAGGACTCAAGAGACCTGGGTTGAGTTTGTAGCTCCAGCATAGACTCCCTGAGCAAGTCACTTCATCCTCAGACCTCAGTTCCTCCTCTGTATAATAAAGACAATAATGCCTTTTTCATGCCCTTTGTCTGTCTTGCCTATTCAGATCAGAAGTTCCCTAGAAGAGGGACTGCTTCCTCCTAGGAATGTACAGCACCTAACACAGCAGGGCCCCAGGCTCAGTACATTCTACTGCAATACCAGTAAATCCTAAGATTTGGTCCTACCACTTTCCTGTCACGTCCTGTTGCAATTTCCCCTTGCACTCCCAACAAGCTGTTTAACGTTCATTAAGGGCATTCACTTAAAAACCAAAAGGCAGTTCCCATTTCTGAATGTCACTGTAGATGCCTTGTGTGTGGTGGTGGTGTGTTTTCTTGGAATGCTCATTACTGATCTTGTATAAGGCAATGTCATAAGAAATGCCAAGTGAGATGGACTGAGCAGAAAGGGGCCCCTTTACCACTGTTCTTACTGGTCTATTGTAGTTCAGATGAGAGCGGCAGTACCTCTGTATGTCAGATCACTGCTCGGGTTCCTGTGGATCTGTCCTGCATCCTTGTCGCTGTCCATCCCTGCTCTCATTACCATGCTTAGCTGAAGCACTGAATGAATAGGAAGTGACAAGTGCAAAATGCAGCTTTCTGGTCTGACTTTTGCTGCAGGATATGGCTGGTCTGGTCCTAGTGAGGTCTCTTTGGAGTTCACCCGGATACCTTTTATTCCTTCTATCCAATTCTGGGCTCCTTCTGGACCTATCATATATACCCCGGGGATCTCACTAATCCAGAGTTTTGGCCTAGGAAATCCCCCAAGACTTTTTGTGCTATGAGCACTTTTGTGAATGAACAAACAAGGTGTTCCAGGAATGAGACATCGAGATGTCACCGCTGGTGGACATTATAAAACACTCCAGGTTTGTTTTTACCAGCTTTGAAACTCTACTAACCTTTCTGTGTAGCCTGTCTACCACCTTGCAGTCTACCGCCCTAAAATTCCCCTGGCAGTTTCCACTAGAGAAGCTACTCCCCAGAGCCCCTCCTGTTAAAAGAACTTGTATCTGTACTTGCATGGATAGACTTGTGCTTATGCTTGTTGAATGCCTGCTGAATTCATCCCCAGGAGTGATTGCATATTAGCAGTGGGTGGGTGATCATCATATAGCTTTAAAGTAACTGTGGGGTGCAGCAGGTTGGAAGGCACTCTGTAGCTTTAGAGCAATATCATGCTAAGGCATTGTTAGATGAGGAATATTATATCGCCCTGGGCACTAGATTCTCAGG